GAGGAATCACCACACTGTCTTCCACAATGGTTGAACTAATTTACACTCCTTAAAATGAAAAATTATTTTCTTGATTTAGTAACTATTATGTTAGTAATGATAGAAGATACAATAGATAGTGGGGAAACAGTAAACATGCATACAAATGCTCATACACATGAAAAATATATAACAATATACCTTAAAATTTATTGACAATGAATATCTAAGAACATCAAGAATTGGTAGCCTTTACAATCATTTTATTTTCATTATTCTCTATTGGCTATTCTTTAAGAGTGACCATGATTTATTCAAGTAAATAAACAAATTTATTTTATTATAAAAAGATCCAAATGCATACAAAATTTGAAAAAAATTGTAACAACCAGCTGTATGCCAACCACCAAGATTCTTTTATTATATTTAATCTCTACTTGCTTTATCATATAGTTGCTCCTTGATATATGATGAGGTTATGTCCCAATAAAGTAATCATAAGTTGAAGATATTTAAAGTAAAAATGAATTTAATATAACATAATCTATAAATTGTATTAAATCCAAGTAAGACTACTCCAATATGAATTATATTCACACTGTCAAAGTTTAAAATGATTCTGAAAGTGGCAGGGGGAAAGAAATAAATAACTGATAAAGGACATTGAAGAAGACACCAAAAAAAAAAAAAAAAAGATATTCCATGTTCATGGATTGGAAGAGTCAATATTGTTAAAATGTTCATACTACCCAAAGCAGCCTACAGATTTAATGCAATCACTGTCAAAAATATCAATGACATTCTTCACACAAATAAAAAAAATCCTCAAATATATGGAACCACTAAAGACCCAGAATAACCAAAGATATCCTAAGCAAAATAAAACTGGAAGAATCACATTACCTGACTTCAAATTATACTACAGAGCTATAGTAACCCAAACAGTATGGTACTGGCAAGAAAACAGACACATATACCAATGGAACAGAATGAAGAATACAGAAACAAATCCACATACCTACAGCTAACTCATTAACAAATGGTACTAGAAAAACTAGATATTCACATGCAAAAACAAACAAAAAAAACCAAACTTGACTGTATCTCTTGCCATAAAAAAATCAAATCAAAATGGACTAAAGACTTAATTCTAAGACTTCGAGCTATAAAAGTACTACAAGAAAATATTGAGAAAACTCTCCCAGGCAATGGTCTGGACAAAAAGTTTTTGAGCAATACCCCACAAGCACAGGCAACCACAGCCAAAATGGACAACTAGGATCACATCAAGTTAAAAAAAACTTCTGCACAGCAAAATAAACATTCAACAAAGTGAAGAGACAATCCACAGAATAGTGGAAAATATTTGCAAACTACCTATCTGAAGAGGGATTCATAGCCAGAGTATGCAAGGAGCTCAGACAACACTATAGGAAAAAATCTAATAATCTGACTAAAAAATAGGCAAAAGATTTGAAAAGAGATTTCTCTCTCTCTCTTTTTTACAATGCAGCTTCTTTTATGTAACTAATTACATAACTTGGTTACATAGTGACATAGTTAAGTTAGGGGCAAGCTACCCAGAAATTGACTAGAGACTTGATGGGCTGTTTTTTTTGTGTGTGTTTTTGGAGATGGAGTTTTGCTCTTGTTGCCCAGGCTGGAGTGCAATGATTGACCTCAGCAAACTGCAACCTCTGCCTCCCAGGTTCAAGGGATCTCCTGCCTCTCAAAGATGACACACAAATGGCAAACAGGCTTATGAAAAGGTGCCTCCTATGAAAACAATAGCATTGCTCATCAGAGAAATGCAAATTAAAATTACAGTGATACCACCTCACCCCAGTTAAAATATCCAAGAGACAGGCAATAACAAATGCTGGCTCTTGTACTGCTGGTGAGAATGTAAACTAGTATAATCACCATGGAGAACAGTTTGGAGGTTCCTCAAAATACTAAAAATAGAGCTACCATGGGATCCAGCAATCCCACTGCTGGGTATACACCCAAAAGAAAGGAAACCAGTATATGGAAGAGATATCTGCATTCCCATGTTTATTGCAGCACTATTCACAATAGCCAAGGTTTGGAAGCAACCTAAGTATCCATCAACAGAAGAATGGATAAAGAAAATCTGGTATATATATATAAACACATATACACATATACATACACGCACACGCACACACACACAATGCAGTACTATTATTCTAATATTCAGTACTAACATTCAGCCATAAACAGAATAAGATCTTGTCATTTGCAACAATATGAAGATAACTTGAGATCACTATGTTAACTGAAATAAAGCATGCATAGAAACACAAACATTGCATGTTCTCATTTATGCTGGATCTAAAAATCAAAACAATTGGGCTCAAGGACATAGAGAGTAGAAGGATGGTTACCAGAGGCTGGGAAGGGTAGTAGGGTTTGGGGAGGAGGTGGGGATGGGCAATGGGTACAAAAAAATAGAATGAATACAACCTACTCTTTGATAGCACCAAAAGGTGATTATAGTCGATAATAACTTGATTGTACTTTTGAAAAAACTAAAATAGTAAAAGTGAGTTGTTTGTAACACAAAATATAAATGCTTGAGGAGATGGATTCCTGTTCTTCATGATGTTATTATGCATTGCATGTCTATATCAAAACATATAATACACCTCACATATTTTTTAATCTACAAAAATTAAAAATTATTTAACATACCTATTTTTTATCCACACCTATTGTTTACCCACAAAATTATTTTTTTGTGGATAAATAATTCATTTATTATTTATCCATGAAAATTAAAATAAAAACAAATCATAAGACCTGGCACCATAAAAACCCTAGAAGAAAATCTAGGCAAAACCATTCAGGACATAGGAGTAGGCAAGGACTTCATGACCAAAACACCAAAAGCATTGGCAACAAAAGCCAAAATAGACAAATAGGACCTAATCAAACTCCACAGCTTCTGCATGGCAAAAGAAACAGTCACTAGAGTGGATCGGCAACCAACAGAATGGGAAAAAATGTTTGCAGTTTACCCATCTGACAAAGGGCTGATATCCAGAATTTCCAAAGAACTCAACAGATTTACAGGAAAAAAACAAGCCCATTCAAAAATAGGCAAAGGATATGAACAGACACTTTACAAAAGAAGACACACATGAGGCCAAGAAACATATGAAAAAATACCACTGGTCATTAGAGAGATGCAAATCAAAACCACATTGAGATACCATCTCATGCCAGTTAGAATGGCGATCATTAAAAAATCTGGAGACAACAGATGCTGGAGAGGATGTGGAGAAAAAGGAACACTTTTACACTGTTGGTGGGAGTGTAAATTAGTTCAACCATTGTGGAAGACAGTGTGGTGATTCCTAAAGGCCTTAGAAATGGAAATTCCATTTGAGCCAGCAACCCCATTACTGGGTATATATCCAAAGGACTATAAATGTGTCCCTACTATAAGGGCACATGCACACGAATGTTCATTGCAGCACTGTTTACGATAGCAAAGACCTGGAACCAACTCAAATGCCCATTGATGATAGACTGGTCTGGGAAAATGTGGCACATATACACCATGGAGTATTATGCAGCAATCAAAAATGATGAGTTCGTGTCCTTTGTAGGGACATGGATGAATCTGGAGAACATCATTCTCAGCCAGCTGACACAAGAACAGAAAATGAAATACTGCATGTTCTCACTCATAGGCGGGTGATGAACAATGAGAACACATGGACACAGGGAAGGGAGCACTACACACTGGGGTCTATTGGGGGGAATAGGGGAGGGACAGTGGGGGGGGAGCTGGGGAGGGATAGCCTGGGGAGAAATGCCAAATGTGGGTGAAGGGGAGGAAGGCAGCAAAACGCACTGCCATGTGTGTACCTATGCAACTATCTTACATGTTCTGCACATGTACCCCAAAACCTAAAATGCAATTAAAAAAATAAAAAAATGAAAAAAACAAAAAAGCAAATAAAAGAAGAAACAAAACCAGTATAAAACCTACCTCAAGATAATAGAAAAACAAGAGTGAGTGAACACAAAATTAGTAGAAGAAAATAAATCAGAGAAGAAATAAAAATAGACTGCTTTCCATTGTATAAAGATAAACAAGAGAAGAGATACATAAAAAGAAGAGTTGATTTGTTGAAAAGATAAACAAAATTGACAACCTGATAAGAAAAATAAGACTCAAATAAATAAAACACGAGATGAAAAAGGAGACATTACAACGATATTGCAGAAATCATGGAGGATCATAAAACTATGAACAATTACACCCCAAATAATTGGAAAATAGGGAAGAAATAGATAAATTCCTGCAAACATAGAACCTACCAAAATTGCATTATGAACAAACAGATACCTGAAAAGACCAATAATGTGCAAGGAGATTGAAACAGTAATAAAAAGTCTCCCATGAAAAAAAGCTCAGTACCTCACAGCTTAATTTGTCAAATATTTATGGAAGATTTAAATTAAAGATGAGGGAATTCTTGCAAACTAACAAAGTCGGCTATACCCAGACACCAAAATCAGACAAGGTCACAAAAACAAAGGAAGAAAAACTACAGGCCAATATCCCTGAGGAACATAAATGTAGGAATCCTCAATAAAATACTAGCAAACAGATTTTAACAGTATATGGAAAAAATTGTTCACCATGATCAAGTGAGATATATCCCAGAGTGACTATCGTTAAAAGAGATGTATCTCATTCTTGAAAATTGGTAAGAAAGCAGATTCAAAGTTTTCTCACCACAACAAATGAGGTTGTGTATATGTTAATTAGCTCAATTTACCCATTCTACAATGTATACATATTTTAAAACATGTTGTACATGATAAATATAATTTTGTTTTTCAATTAAAAATAAAATTTAAAAAAGTTTTATAAAAGGGAAAAAATTAGATTGTGGACTACAACTATAGTACATTCTACATATTTATCATAATATTTTGCAAATAGATATAGGAATTGATATAGGTCAAGATAAATACAAATTCAGGTGCAGATATAGATACAGATATATAGATATGTAAATTTATAAACAAAGATGTATAGCTATATATAACAAATTTTAACAGTAAAATTGCTTGAGACCTCTAAGATTATAGTTTTATGAGCTCCATATTAAGTTTTTTTCCCCACCATTTCTAATGTTTTCTAGAAGGAACATAGATTGTTAATAAAAATAAGTATTAAAAATATGAGCAATATGCTATTTTTCTCATAAAGGAAATATCAACTATAATACACTGAGAAACAAATTGTGATTGGAGAAAATGTCACAGAGGAGATGACATGAGAATTAGATATGAAAGGAGGAATAAGGGTTTTCCACAAGTTGATGTTATTTCAAGAGAATGCAGAGTACCTGAAGAGTTGGCATAACCTAAGAAAACTGATGAATTAATGGCCTGGTATATCTAACGCTCAGGTTGCATAGAAGGTATTGGGAAGTGTGGTTGTAAAAGCACTCAGAAATCATGTGAATAAACATCTTGAATGTCCTCCTGAGGACGAGCTCATTGAAGAACACAGCCTGACATTGAGAATGAAGGAGTTTCCTTTCCTCAGCATTTCCCCAGCACACACCACCCGTTCAGAAACTACATGTCCCAGCATAAGAATGATCAGGCTCAGGTTCCTCAAGGGTTGTTCTGCAAAATATGAATCGCACAATTTATTTGCAATCCTTCATTACAGACATTCATGTTCATAGGGTATAAGCTATAACATAATAGAAATAAATGGAAAACCTAGGAATCACTGATTCTAAGAATGTCACTTAGCTAGAATGAAAGAGAAGAATGGAGGTTTGTATGTGATCGTAAAGGAATACAACATATCCTTTATGAAGAGCTTGAGAAACTCAGTACAGGATAGCTGAACAAATCCAAGGCCAGAACACTGTTCCCACTTCCTCTATTTCCAAAGATTATGATAATGTTGTCATTAAGGATACATCACTTCTGAAAAACCAATCCATCATCTTCCAGGCTCTGTGCAGGAGGTAGTTTGTTCAGTCAAACATGGCATTACTCTCCTAGGTTTAAAAAGTGGAGGAGTAAGCCCTGCAACTTCCCAGTTGACCTTGCTCCAGGCGTTGTATTCACTGAGTTGTTTCCTACTGTGTCAGCTGACCCCTCCCATCAACCACTTCCATACCCATTTACCAGATAGCTAGAGATTCTGAAAACTCAGTTCTTAAACCAAAGTTATTTCCATTTTATAAACAAAAAATGAACTACCTGTTTCTGAATTTGCTTGGTCTTGATCCCATAAATAATGGGATTCAGCATAGGTGGAGCCAGAATGCAGACATTAGCCACCAAGATGTGGATATGAGGTGGAATGTGGCGTCCAAACCTCTGGGTAAGGATTGTGAAGATGCCAGGCCCATAAAAGAGGATGATGATGCAGACATGGGCGCCACATGTGTTGAGAGCTTTGTGGCGAGCATCTGGAGAAGGCATGTGGAAGACAGTATGGAGAATCAGCATATAGGAAATAAAAATTAGCACAACATTAAGACCACCGTTGACATTAGGATGGAGAACCCATACCAAATGTTTATTTGAATGTCATTACAAGCATATTTGGCTAGGCCAATGTGTTCACAAAAGGTGTGTGGAATAATATTATTCTGGCAGAAAGTCAATCTTTTTAAAAGAAATATGATAGGGAAAATTGTACCATAACTTCTCAGGAAGACAGTCACACCAATTTTCTTAATCAGAGCATTTGTAAGAATGGTGGTGTACCTCAGTGGGTAGCATATGGCAATGTAGCGGTCAAATGCCATTACCAGCAAGATCCCTGACTCAGAGATGAAGGTGGAATGGACAAAGACGAGCTGAGTGATGCAACAGTCCAGGGAGATGTCCCCAGCATGGAACCAGAAGATAGCTAAGGTCTCAGGAATGGTGGACGTGGAGAGGACAATGTCTGCTCCAGCCAGCATGCAGAGGAAGAGGTACATGGGTTCATGGAGGCTGCGTTTGTGAGGATAATGAAGATAAGTAGTCTGTTCCCAAGAAGGGCAGTGACATAGGCAATGAAGAAGGGCATAGAAATCCACATGTGCTGGTCCTCTAGGCCAGGGATGCCCAGCAAGGGGAAGACTGTGTGGCTAGTGCCACTGTAGTTTACAGTAGGCATAGCTGGGGAAAACTTTCAGAACCTTACCTCCTATTCACAGAGGTAGAAGATAAAATCTCCAGCATTCTTTGCGATGTCACGAGGAGCTTTCGGCATATTCCATAATCTCCATCTTCTTTGAACATATGAATAACAAACATGCAAATATGAAAGGAGGTGATCAGTACTCTAATGAATGACAGCCAGACAATATCTCCAAGTAATCAGAATAAGAGACATTATTGTATGCACTTTAATTGCGAATGGAGGATTATGAACACACATAGGAAATTATTATTTCTGTGTGGGAAAGCTGAATAAGGTGATACTTAAACTTGAAATTGAGAAGTTTATCATAAAGTTAATGAAGAGAAAGTAAGTAGCATAAGAAAAGGTGAATATACAGATCAATGCATAGTATGTTTCTGAAACACTTTCAGGCTAGGGTGGCTGGTGCATAAGGAGTACTGAGGAGAACAAAGGTGGTGGTATAGGCAGGTTTTTCCTGAATGTGAAGGGCCTTGATTACAACTTTACCCTTAGTCCCCATCCTTCCCACAGGGGCAGCCATTAGTTTAGAAAGATGACCTGTTGACGTTTATTGGAGCACTGGTTGATTGAAGACACTAAGGCCTAGAAGAGGCCAGTGGTGTTCTGGGGATGGAAAAAATCTTAATGTATCACAATCATAGGATAATTAAGCTAATGTTTATGAAGCATCACTTTATGCCAGAGGCTGTAGTATTGCACTTTATATATTCTTAATGCAGGGAGTTAGATATCCACTCTTATCCACTGGATATTATCCCTATTTCACACTAAGGAAAGTGATATGAATAACTTGCTGGTTGTCATAAAGTAACAATTGAAATAAATTAGATTTGAAACCTCTGACTTCACCACATACAGTTTGCTCACTTATGAAGAGGGTCGAGGTACCTTTAAGAGGTAACTGACTGTACTTCATTATCTGAGATGAGGCACTCCTTGTGCTCACAGGCCAGGGAAGTAGGCTTAGAAATGGCTGAAATTAGAAAAAGAGTTATTTCTGGGGCATGAGGAGGGGTCGCAGTCCTTGATAACCGATAAATTCTTCTGCTGGTAGAAACGAACATGTAACTTCATCATTTACTTCCTAGCATACTCTCTCTCTTCACTTGTTAGTGAATTTCTTCAGCAGGCCTATTTTGAGCATTGACTATTTTTTTCCCTACATCATGCTATGTGCCTGAGTCCTCAATGGGTTTATGGCTTCAGAGAATGGTGGGCTTGTGAGTAAATAGGTTTCCTAAATGTTCCAGGTGGAATAGCTTCAGAGAAGAGAACCACATTTAATCCCATTTTCACTGGAAAGAAGAAATTGAGACAAATAATAAAATACCCTCTTCATGAGGTTTCTGAGGATATTAAAGGAGTATCTTAAAATATTTAATTGTTGGTTAAGATATATCTTTAGATGAGTAATATTTTTTCCTCCATTCTAATTCACACTCTAAGTACATCCTCTTCTTTCTTTCTGGGGAGGATAATTGGCTCTTAGTTACTTTTCATACCTACTAAGATTCCCTGGCTGCCTCCACAAAGCTTCTTCCAATGTGTGGTCTAGGGCAGATGACTATAGTTCCCTGCCATTTTTAGGGCTCCTTTCTTTCTTTTTCTTTTTTTTAAAATTTTTATTGCATTTTAGGTTTTGGGATACATGTGCAGAACATGCAAGACAGTTGCATAGGTACACACATGGTAGTGTGTTTTGCTTCCTTTCTCCCCTTCACCCACATTTTGCATTTCTCCCCAGGCTATCCCTCCCCAGCTCCCCCCCCGCTGGCCCTCCCCTTTTCCCCCCAATAGACCCCAGTGTTTAGTACTCCCCTCCCTGTGTCCATGTGTTCTCATTTTTCATCACCCGCCTATGAGTGAGAATATGCGGTGTTTCATTTTCTGTTCTTGTGTCAGTTTGCTGAGAATGATGTTCTCCAGATTCATCCATGTCTTTAGGGCTCCTTTCATATGCCAAGAGTTGTTTGCAGCCTACCTCAATATATTTTGTTTTCTCATCTCTAGTCTAACTATTACGGTACCTACTAGTTACTGGATTGCTTCTCTTGACTGCTTTTCAGTAAATTCCATATAGCCCACATTCTCTCACCCTCCCTTCCCTGATCCTCCTCTTTCACTTCTGCCATAAGCGGAGACTTGTGCATATCTGTCTGTCTCTATCTATCTATCTATCTATCTATCTATCTATCTATCTATCTATCTATCTATCAATCATCTATCATCTATCTATATCTATCTATCTTGTGCATATATATATCTCACATATTTCAAGTCTCTAAGAGTTCTCTTACCTCTAGCCTGTATGATATAACACCACCTAATTCTTATCTTATTTCTGGAACCAGTACCACCCATAAAAGTCTAATTCACTCACTGGCCTCAGACTGAGACTTCAGGAACAGAAATGAGATCTGTAATAAAATTCAGCCTGTTAGGGGCCGGGAGTTGGGCTCTTTATCTTCTTTCAGAAAAACCCTTGAGGGAAGCACTTATGCCACACTCTCCAGGGAAAGAGCTATTTCCACCAGCCTTGCCTTCTTCCTAAGTAGGCTGATTCTCTAAAACCATTTCCCACCTTCCTCCCTTCTCTGTTTCTCTTTTGTTTTTCTCAAGATGCTCTGATAAAAAAGCCTTTCCACCTAATCTAGCCTTACAACAGCCTATTTAAACAAATGTTAAACCAATTTCTTAACAGGCATATAAAGTCTGATGATTAATATATATTGATGATTTATAAAGGTATGTTCTTCATGAAAAGTATAATGTTGAAGTTATATTCATCTCCCTGGTTTTGATTAACTTTCAGTTACGAATAATGATGCTTAACTCTGTTGCCTAAGATATGCAAATATACATGCTTAATGGTTAGTAGAAAACATGTGAGTCATGAGTATTTTGGACACATTTGTATTCCATTGTTTGTCTTCTTTGGCTGTTTAGTTTTTTTTTTTTAACTTTTTCATAATTTTCAGTTTGATTGTGATGTGCCAAGGCATAGCTTTCTTTGTTTTTATTTTCCTTGATGTTTGCTTAGCTTTTTGAAGCTGTAAATTTATGATTTTTACCTAATTTGGAAAATTTTAGTAATTATTTTTTATACTTTAATTTCTGGGGTACATGTGCAGAATGTGCAGGTTTGTTATATAGGTATACATGTGCCATGGTGGTTTGCTGCATCCATCACCTTATAATCTACATTAGGTATTTCTCCTAATACTCTCTCTCCCCTGGCCCCCAGTACCGCGATGAGCCTTGGTGTGTGATGTTCCCCTTCCTGTGTCCATGTGCTCGCATTGTTCAACACCCACTTATGAGTGAGAACATGCGGTGTTTGGTTTTCTGTTCTTGTGTCAGTTTGCTGAGAATGATGGTTTCCAGCTTTAATTCATGTCCCTGCAAAGGACATAAACTCATCCTTTTTTTAAAAAAATTATTTATTTTACTTTAGGTGCATACTATATCTGGCATTTCTCCCCATGTTATCTCTCCCCACCCTCCCCACCATCCCCACCCTCCCCTGCATCCCCACCCCCCACTGTCTTTCCCCTACCCCCCCCAACTGCCCCCAGTGTGTGATGCTCCTCTCCCTGAGTCCATGTGTTCTTGTTGTTCCACACCCACCTATGAGTGAGAATATATGGTGTTTGGCTTTCTGTTCTTGTGTCAGTTTGCTGAGAATGATGGTTTCCAGATTCATCCAAATCCCTACAAAGACACGAATTCATTATTTTTTATGGCTGCGTAGTATTCCATGGTGTATATGTGCCACATTTTCTTTGTCCAGTCTATTATTGATGGGCATTTGGGTTGGCTCCAGGTCTTTGCTATTGTACACAGGGCTGCAATGAACATTCGTGTGCATGTGTCTTTATAGTAGAAGGATTTATAGTTTGGGTATGTACCCAGTAATGGGATTGCTGAGTCAAATGGAATTTCTATTTCTAGATCCTTGAGAAATTGCTATACTGTCTTCCACAATGATTGAACTAATTTACACTCCCACCAACTGTGTAAAAACATTCTTATTTCTTCACATCCTCTCCAGAATCTGTTGTCTCCAGATTTTTTAATGATCACCATTCTAACTGGCGTGAGATGATATCTCAATGTAGTTTTGATTTTCATTTCTCTAATGACCAATGATGGTGAGCATTTTTTCCCATGTTTTTTGGCCTCATGTATGTTCTCTTTGGAAAAGTGTCTATTCATATCCTTCGTCTACTTTTGAATGGGTTTTTTTTTTCTTGTATATCTGTTTTAGTTCTTTGTAGATTCTGGATATTAGCCCTTTGTCAGATGGGTAGATTGCAAAAATTTTTTCCCATTCTGTTGGTTGCTGGTTCACTCTAATGATTGTTTCTTTTGCTGTACAGAAGCTCTGGAGTTTAATTAGATCCCATTTGTCTATCTTGGCTTTTATTGCCATTGCTTTTGGTGTTTTAGTCATGAAGTCCTTGCTTATGCCTATATCCTGGGTGGTTTTGCCTAAGTTTTCTACTAAGGTTTTTATAGTGTTAAGTTTTGTTTAAATTTTTAACCCATCTGTAGTTAATTTTAGTGTAAGTTGACAGGTAGGGGGTCCAGTTTCTGCTTTCTGCACATTGCTAGCCAGTTTTCCCAACACCATGTATTAAACATGGAGTCCTTTCCCCATTGCTTGTTTTTGCCTGGTTTGTCAAAGATCAGATTGTTGTAGATGTGTGGTGTTTCTTCTGGGGCCTCTGTTCTGTTCCATTGGTCTATGGCTCTGTTTTGGTACCAGTACCATGCTGTTTTGATTAATGTAGCCTTGTAGTATAGTTTGAAGTCTGGCAGTGTGATCTTTGTTCTTTTTGCTCAGGACTGCTTTGGCTATACAGGCTCTCTTGTGATTCCATATGAAGGTTAAAGTGGTTTTTTCCAGTTCTGTGAAGAAGGTCATTGGTAGATTGATGGGGATAGCATTGAATCTGTGGATTACTTTG